GGGTTTGGTTTCAGCTGCTGAGCTCTGCCCTGGTGCTGTGCTGGGCTTTGGGGTTTGGTCACCCTGCACAGCAGAAACCCCTGGCAGTGTCCCAGGCCAGGCTGGATGGGTTTGGAGCAGCCTGGGGCAGTGGGAGCTGTCCCTGCCATGGCTGGGGGGCACTGGGGGGGCTCTGATGTCCAAACCACTCTGGGATTCTGTGGTGATTCAGATTTTCCCTCATTCTAAGCCACTTTAGGATAAAAAATTGCCTTGGATTAGCTCTGCTTCCAGAAGATAGTTTTGCCCTAACCTATCCATTTAAAGAGACAAGAACTGTGTGTTATAAATGCACATTTGGAAGAACATGCTCTTTTTTAATTAAAACAATATTAAGCAGGGGCTGCAGGATGAATGCTGAAGATGCATGGTCCACCCCCTTCCATTAGTGAGAAGACAACACAAAGCTGTAGGCAGATATAAAAGCATTAAAATACTTAATTTCCCATTTTATTGTGTGTCAACAGAAACATATAATAATAAGCATTTTTGCAAAAACTGTGGGTTAAGCATTTTTCTCTATATCAGCAGTGTGCTGGAAATGTCCTTGCTTTAATGTAGAACAAATGGCCCTTGGATCTCATTAAAGATGGAGTTGTGAGAGCTCAGAGGAAATCTCTGCTGCTGGGGCAGGGCAGGCAGGGCTGCTAAAAACAGGTGACAAATATTAAACAAAAGACAAAGGAAGAGTGGAAATGAAAAGGAAATAAATGAGGGTTAAGAATTGGTTCTTGTGGGGACACAGAAGAGGAGTTGCAGTGTGGGAGCAAAGTGATGGCAGTAGTTGGAAGTCTTTATAATATATAATAGTATTGATATGTACATAATTAATATAAATATATTTTATATAGAATTAATATGAATGTATTTTAATATTTGTTTTTATATATTATTTATATTAATATAGTTAATATATTATATAATAATAATTAATTGAATGTGTTAAATAGGATGTGACAGGAACTGCTGGAGGCCATCTGCAGTGCTGGGTCCAGTTCTGGGCCCTCTCCTGCAAGGAAAACATGGATGGGATGGGATGGGATGGGATGGGATGCCATGGGATGGGATGCCATGGGATGGGATGCCATGGGATGGGATGGGATGGGATGCCATGGGATCCATGGGATGGGATGGGATGCCATGGGATGGGATGCCATGGGATCCATGGGATGGCATAGAAGCAGTGTCAGTTCCCGCAGCAGGGGCAGGGACACGGCTGCTTCCCGCAGCTCCTGTGCTGCTGCAGCAGAGACAATCCTGCTTCAAGAGAGGCTTTGCAGTCTCTGGCAGCCCTGTGATCCTGCAGGGGCGTTAGGGCTGCTCTGCTCTGGGCAGGGATTTGTTTGGCACCAGGCAGGACGGGCAGGGCTTTGCCTCTGCCACCTGGCAGGGTCAGTGGTGGCGCAGGGCTTCCCTGCAATCCCTGCAGCCAGGGAAATGGGAAGGGGTTCCAGTGTGAGGGGATGGATCCGTCCTGTCTGGGCCAGGCACAGAGCAGCTGTGCATCCTCTCAGCTTTATCAGCACTGTATCTCTTGGAGTTCAGCTGATACCTCGCAGAAGACTCTGCTGAGGATGTGTTATTGACATATTCTTAGCTTAAAACCATTATCATGCTAAATCCCTGGATTTAAAAACTAATTACAAGACATTAATAGCTGAGCCTGAAGAGCTAAGTCATGCAAATATTGCTGTCTGCAAAGTGGAATATACACAAATGTTTGAACTGCTGAGTTAGGAGCTGCAGTCTGGAGGTGGCAATAAATCTGAGCCCAGTCCTCGCCGCTGGGTTCTGTGTGTCCGTGAAATTAATGGCACCATCATTATGAAAGTGGTATCAGGGAACGTGGCTATTTTCTTCCCTGAGTAGGTTAATTACCACTAATGTAATTATTTTTCTACTGATTTTTATTTTAATCAAACATTGCACGAAACAATTAAGTTCAGAACAAATGGATTATTATGGAAATGTTTGTGGCGGAGGGAAGCAAAGCAGCAATGTTTGAATTATACACAGATATTGAGCTACTTTATTCATTAAAATGAACAATTACATTAGGCCTTATGAGACAGACTAAGCATTTCTTGTTAATGGTTGTTCTGTAGTGAACATAATGAGGATATATATTATGAATGGATCCAATCCCTCTTGCTCGAGGCATTCAGGAGCTGTGGGGTGTGTGGGAGCAGGGAGAACATCCTTCCCAAATGTGCCAGGGCTGCAGTGCAGGGGGCTCCTCGTGTCCCTGGGCTTGCCCAAGGGGGAAGCTCAAGGTGTGGCATTGCTCAAGGTGGGTGCAATGTCTGCCTGCCTCTGGCAGTGCTGCTGGTTTGGGAAGAAGGAACTCCCTCATCCCTGGGCTGAAATGGAAGGTTCTACATAAAAAAACCCAGTTTTCTGGTAATTGCAAGAGCACTTTCTCACAATATATGACATTTTTCTGCCTGCTTTGCAGACTGTGCTAGCATTTTCAGCTAATCCTTGGAGGTATCTAAAGGATGTGTAGACGTGGGGCAAATTCTCCTTCAAAAATGCACTGTTCTGGTGGGGAAAGTGTCTGTACTTTGACTCAGGTCCTCACCCCTGCTGCAGGTGTTGGTGCCCAGCATTCCCTCACAGGCACTTTGCAACCTGAATTTTCTCCAGAAACAGCAGAAGTCTGTCCAGGGCCAGTGCTGGAGCTGTTCTGGTGTCAACCCAGGAGGCCAGGAAAAGGACTTTCCCCCTGCCTGATCTTCATCTCCTTCCACAGAGGATCTGTGCAGAATTAAGTAGCTTCAGGCTGTCCCAGGTGCCAGCAGTGCCATGGAATATGTTTGAGAACGTGGAAATTCATCCTTTTGTAGCCATAAGTGAAGCAGGGCTATGATAACACATCAGTCAGTGTGTGGCAATGTAGATATTCACAGGTAGAAAATCGGTGGAAATCATTTCACTGCTGCAGACTGGATCCATGTGCTTGGGTTGATCTCCCTTTGTATTGGTGCCTGCTGCAAAAAGGCATGGGGGTGGCTGTGGGTGATGACAGGGTAGGGAATGCAGGCTCTGGGCTGGGTGGAGACCAGATCTCAGGTGTAAAAACTCAGGTAAGTCTTGTCTGACTCTGCCTTGGGCAGTGGACACAAAGCAAGGACTAAGAAAAGCAGCAGCAGTGTCACAGCTGCTCTCCTAAGGAATTGGGTGAGGTTTTCCCATGTTTCCAGGTCAGCAGTGTCAGCCCTGGCTCCCCTCAGTGCCCTGCAGCAGGACTGGGCTCTCACAGCCCTGGAGCTCAGCCCTGTGCCGTGGAGCACATGGAGCTGGCCATGGAAATGGATTTCCTGGCTCCTTGCACTGCCAGTGAGACCAAAGCACCGTTTATCAGTGCAATTAAATGAGGCTGTGTACTTCCCTTTCTCATCAGCACTCCTCTGCCTCCTGCAAGCTGCACACCTTCAGCCCAGCCGAGCAGGAGAAAGCAGTTCAGGGATCTTTGCTCTTCCCCACAATACTGGAGGTTAATCAAGTTCCCCAGGCAGTGGCAGACCTCTAGAATAGCTCTTATTGAGGGATTATTTTTTACAGGTACTCCAGTGTGTGAGCAGTGTGACTTCAGGGTTTGGTGTTTTCACAAATAGAAAATTAAAATGATACAGGATCTATTTTGGTTTAAATTAGGAAAGTGCAACTTAGCCCTTCAATTTAAGGTTTGCCCATCCAAGTCTTCCTGTCTAAATGAATAATTAAGGCAGCTGATTCAAGAAACTCCTCTGAGAATTTTGACTTGTAGGGAAAATCATGGAGCTTGTCAGCATTTAAGGGACCTAAAGAAAAATAGCTGAAATTTTGTTTTTCATAACTCTTGTTCACATCTATGCCAGGGGACCAGGTTTTATGTTTGGAAAAGACACACACACACAGAGCAGCTCCTGGAGCCGCTGGGTGCTGCTGGGCTGGTGACAGGTGCTGGGAATGCCAGGGCTTTTCCAGCTTCCACTCTGGATATTTCACTGGAGCTCCAATGCTAAACCTTCCCTGTTCTCGGAACCTGGGGAATGCCTTCAGTGAGGCATAGTTTGAAATTATTTGGGAGTCTAATTTCCCACAGTACATGTGAGCCTTTGTCACATACCTTGGAGTTCAGGATTCTCCAGACTGCAGAGTAAGTGGGACTTTCCATGTATTTAATATAATCATTTATCATTTGCATTCCCAGAAGCACATGTGGTATTTCAAAAGCTGAATGTGACTTTGAAATGAAATATTATCTAATTACTGCATTTTTCAGTGATGACCACTTTCTTTCTCCTTCATATTTCTCACCTGGCTTGTATAGCAGAGCTTCCCCCATCCTCACTGATCCCATGCCCTATAGAAAACACATTTCCACCTCATTTCAAATCTTCCCCTGGTCAGCAGCAGTTCCAGGAAGGGAGATCTCTGTTCTGTCTCAGTAAGAAGCCCCAAGGTTTGTGGAAAGCAGCCTTGCAAATGAGGTCCTGCCTTCCCTCAAGGTTTGCAGTGTTCTTACTAATTCTCATCAAAAACCAGGTTTTCACTCTTGTGGTTTATCTGGGGTCCTGTGTCATTCCAGCAGACTTAACAACAAATAGAAATGAGAAATGGAGGCGGTGAACAGTCAGGGACCGGGGCTCCACACAGAGACCCCGGGGTGTGTGTCCAGGAGTCTGTCGTGTGGGAGGTTTATCCAGCTGGGCTTTGTGTGCTGGGGCTCCCCTGAGTCCCCTCCCTTCACTCCCAGCTCATGGCTGTGGCTGCCAGCCCAACCCTGAGCCTGTCTGTGTCCCTGTCCCCCAGACCCGGGAGATGCAGTGGGGTGGAGGGGTTCTGTGCCCCTCTCGGTGTGCAGCCAGCCCTAAACCAGCCCTAAACCAACCCTAAATCAGCCCTAATGCAGCCCTAAACCAGCCCTAAGGCAGCCCTAAGCCAGGCCTAACCCCGAGCCTGTCTGTGTCCCCCAGATCGAGGAGATGCAGTGGGGCGGCGGGGTGCGTTCCGTGCCCCCCTCGGTGTGCAGCCAGCCGTGCCGGCCGGGCGAGAGGAAGAAGATGGTGAAGGGGATGCCGTGCTGCTGGCACTGCGAGCTGTGTGACGGGTACCAGTACCAGGCCGACGAGGTCACCTGCCTGCTCTGCTCCTACAACGAGCGGCCCAACGAGAACCGCACCGGCTGCCGCTCCATCCCCATCATCAAGCTGGAGTGGCACTCGCCCTGGGCCGTCATCCCCGTCTTCCTGGCCATGCTGGGGATCATCGCCACCATCTTCGTCATGGCCACCTTCATCCGCTACAACGACACGCCCATCGTGCGCGCCTCGGGCCGCGAGCTCAGCTACGTGCTGCTGACCGGCATCTTCCTGTGCTACATCATCACCTTCCTGATGATCGCCAAGCCCGACGTGGCCGTGTGCTCCTTCCGCAGGATCTTCCTGGGGCTGGGCATGTGCATCAGCTACGCCGCCCTGCTGACCAAGACCAACCGCATCTACCGCATCTTCGAGCAGGGCAAGAAGTCGGTGACTGCGCCCAGGCTGATCAGTCCCACCTCGCAGCTGGCCATCACCTCCAGCCTCATCTCCGTCCAGCTGCTCGGGGTCTTTATTTGGTTTGCAGTCGACCCGCCCAACATCATCATAGATTATGATGAGCAGAAAACTATGAACCCCGATCAGGCCAGAGGAGTTCTCAAATGTGACATTACGGATCTACAAATCATTTGTTCCTTGGGTTATAGCATTCTGCTCATGGTGACGTGCACTGTGTATGCCATCAAGACTCGGGGGGTCCCAGAGAATTTTAATGAAGCCAAACCCATTGGATTCACTATGTACACTACCTGTATAGTATGGCTTGCCTTCATTCCAATATTTTTTGGCACTGCCCAGTCAGCCGAAAAGGTAGGTGCGAGTGCTCAGGTACCTGAGGACTCACTGTGCTTGTAACAACGTGCTGGTGGTCGGCTTTCCGTGGATCTCCAGCTGAGCTCTGCACTCAGCTCGTTCCTGACTCAATCTGTGGTGCTGTTTTCCTTCCCTGCTCAGCTCGTGGGTCATTCGTTTGATAAACTGGCAAATGATCAATAGCAATCACATTAGCCATTACTTTTATTGTTGCATCTATTTCCATTGTTTCTTTACAGTGGCGTAAGCGGGAATTAGCTGTCATATTACCCACAGAGAGGCATCTCACAGCTAAATCGTTTTGAATACAAGATGTAAGCAAGAAAACTGTCCAAAACTGCTCAGGTGGCCTCCTGTGCCCCTGGAGCTGAGCCCTGTGGGCACTGTGGGGAGTGCTGAGTGCTGTGGGCAGTGTGTGTGTGTGCTGTGGGCAGTGTGTGTGTGCTGTGGGCACTGTGTGTGTGTGCTGTGGGCACTGTGTGTGTGCTGTGGGCAGTGTGTGTGTGCTGTGGGCACTGTGTGTGTGCTGTGGGCAGTGTGTGTGTGTGCTGTGGGCACTGTGTGTGTGTGCTGTGGGCAGTGTGTGTGTGTGCTGTGGGCAGTGTGTGTGTGCTGTGGGCAGTGTGTGTGTGCTGTGGGCAGTGTGTGTGTGTGCTGTGGGCACTGTGTGTGTGTGCTGTGGGCAGTGTGTGTGTGTGCTGTGGGCAGTGTGTGTGTGCTGTGGGCAGTGTGTGTGTGCTGTGGGCACTGTGTGTGTGTTGTGGGCACTGTGTGTGTGCTGTGGGCAGTGTGTGTGTGCTGTGGGCACTGTGTGTGTGCTGTGGGCAGTGTGTGTGTGCTGTGGGCAGTGTGTGTGTGCTGTGGGCAGTGTGTGTGTGTGCTGTGGGCAGTGTGTGTGTGCTGTGGGCACTGTGTGTGTGCTGTGGGCACTGTGTGTGTGCTGTGGGCAGTGTGTGTGTGCTGTGGGCAGTGTGTGTGTGCTGTGGGCAGTGTGTGTGTGCTGTGGGCAGTGTGTGTGTGCTGTGGGCAGTGTGTGTGTGCTGTGGGCACTGTGTGTGTGCTGTGGGCAGTGTGTGTGTGCTGTGGGCAGTGTGTGTGTGCTGTGGGCAGTGTGTGTGTGCTGTGGGCAGTGTGTGTGTGCTGTGGGCAGTGTGTGTGTGCTGTGGGCAGTGTGTGTGTGCTGTGGGCAGTGTGTGTGTGTGCTGTGGGCAGTGTGGGGTGTGCTGTGGGCAGTGTGGGGTGTGCTGAGCGCTCTGCTCCCGCAGCAGCCCCAGGACACATTTACCCTGCGGGGTGAAGAGCCTGCCCTGAGCTCCCCTGGCTGAGCCCAGTGATGATGAGCCATGGCTGATGCTCCATGATGCAGATTCACTTTTACTTCTCTCTGGAGAAAAGCTCATTTCAGAGGCGTTTGGCAATGACCTCCAAGCCCAGTATTTAGAGAGCAGTGGTGACACTGGGCTGTCCTGAGCTGCTGTCAGTTTTACCCCTCCACTCACCTGCCTCAAACACTCCCCCAGCCTTGCAGGGATGTGGCAGCTCCAGATCCCGAACCTGTGCCTCCTTGTGCAGGGAACAGCTTTGGCTTCTCGGGCCTTTTTTCACCTGTTTCCATGTTCCTGTCCCCATCCCCGTGTCCCCATCCCCGGGTCCCCATCCCCATGTCCCTGTCCCCATCCCCATCCCCATGTCCCTGTCCCCATGTCCCTGTCCCCATG